TATATATATATATATATATATATATATATATATATATATATATATATGCATATATATGTCAGAACAAATGCTGTGGAAGCCAAAAAATGGGGTGTGGGGTATCAGGTCCCCTGGAACTACAGGTGGTTGTGAGCCGTCCAATGTTAGTGCTAGAAACGTGGATCTTCTGCAATAGCAGTGTGCTTTCTTAAGCACAGAGCCATCTCTCCAGCTTCTCTTTCTCTTTTAAATATCCAGATTAAGCACTTGATACTTTCTACAGGTCAGGGTTGATTTTTATTTTGAAAGCTGTGTGACCTACCAGGTATATATTTTCTCTTACATCGTATGTAAAAGGATGTATTTATAGCTTGTTTAAACAAATTGGCTTTAACCTAATAGTCCACTCAAGGTGCTATAATAAAATACTTTGGACTGGGTAGTTTATAAACAACAGAAATTTATTGTTCACAGTTATGTAGGCTGGGAAATCAAGACCAAGGTGCCTGCAGATTTGGTGTCTGCTTAGAGGCCTCTCTGTAGAACAGGGCAGAGCTCCGCTCAAATGATTTCATCTGAGCACTAATCCCATTTGGAAGGCAAGTCCCTCCTTAATAACTTCCTAAAAGGCACAGCCACAGTGGGCATTAGATTCCAGCAAGAATTTTGAAGGGACATGTTCAGACCACAGTGCCAAGAATTCTCCCATTTTCTGTCTAAGTAAAAACTATCCACACTCAGGAAGGAGTTAGTGATAGTAAGATTGACACTTCAGTCCTGAGACCTCAGAGGAAAGGGTTTAACTGAGGGAATAAGCAGAGAAACCAGAATTAAATGGCATCACACATCAGATGATGGACCTACCATATCTACAGAAGGGTCCACCAAGCACCCAAGAATACACAGGCTCCTCAGCAGGTCAGGAAAGCTTCTCTAAAGCAAGCCACATCCTGAGACACAAGACAACTCCTAACAAATTGAGAAAAAAAATGAAATAACTCCATTATATTATCTGACCTCACAATGTGATAGAAGTTAAGGTCAACAGCAAAAGAATCTCTAGCAACTACAGGAACTCGGGGAAATTAAATAGCACATCACTGAACAATAGATGAGACAGAATAAATCAAGAAAGATTAAAAAAAATCAGTTGACTCTTTTGAGAGACCCATGTCCACAGTTGAGAGGGATTTGTCCTTTTCTTGCTGCTCTTTCTCTTCCCCTGAACACTCAAGGGGATTAAAGCTCAGTTAAAACCTTTTCTAGATAAACTCCAACTCTTCCTCAAGAAATACGTAAATAAAGCTTAGAAAAAAATTTAAAACACAGATTCATTATGTAGCCCATGGTGGCTTTGAACTCATGGTTCACCTTCCTCAGCCTCAGGAAACAATGTCTTCTGGGCATGCTGTGGTCACCACGCTCAGGAACTCCCCATGTGTGGTCACCAGCACAGACCCACACAAGGTCAAGACAACAGAGCCTGTCAACAGTCGCTGTAGCACTCGCTGGGGAGACAGGAGAGGATGTGACGGATGAAGGGAAGTGGGATTCTGAAGAGAGGGCGGGAACGGTTGGGACTGGAAATGATCAACTTACATTGGAAATGTGCATGACGAGAACAAAAACAAACAACAAAAATCTTCCAAATCCAGAAAAGCAGCTGGTAACATTCAGCTCACTTTTGAGTTAGTGGCCGTGGTTTGGCTCAGGGATCACTTAGAGTGAGTCATGAAATGAGAACAGTGTATCTTTGCTGGCCAACAGCGATAGCAATGCTGCTCTTTGACTGTCTCTGAAGGTCAGGGGTGTAAGTGAATCTGTAACCTTCAGACTCCAACCTCAGCAACTTACCAGTTCGCTTGCCACCCAGTGAGCCTTAAAGTCACTAGCGAGCCATTGGTCAAGTGTGCCTCTTCTGGGCGGAGCTCACGTCACTGGTGTCTCCAGGGCGTTGTAACCGGTCATCTCTTTCTCCTCTGTGCAGCACGGTACCACGCTCCTCATGGTTGCCTCCTACGCGGGCCACATAGACTGTGTGAGGGAGCTGGTTCTACAGGGAGCAGACATCAACCTCCAGAGGGAGGTAAGGAGAGCTGTGCGCGTGAATGAAAATTACGGGGTTAAAGTCTGCGGTCTTTAGAGTAACAGGCTGCTTATGAGGACAAGAGCTGTCATTGCCTTGCTCCTGCCCAAAAGCCCACTGCACAGTTTACTGTGCCTACAATAAGACCTAGGAATGCACCACCGTCAGCTACACTCACCTGTTTGTGCCACTGGAACACAATCACCAGTGCTGGGATTTTACATGGAGGTTTATTTACGAAGTTTTAGAGACTGAAAATCTAAGATTGAGGAACTGCACCTGTCCGGCCTTGGTGAGGGTCTCCTTGGCTGCCTCACAGCATGATGAAGTTGCTGAAAGAAAAGAGCAATGGCCACGCCCTGAAGAAACCAAGCGCCAGCCACCCTTACCTTTCAACAACCCACGAGTGTGAGAACCGACACACTCTAACAGATCAGCGTTAGTCCTTTCCGTATCTGTACCCATCCACAGCCTCACTCTGTGCCTACACCTCACAGGGCCCGCTGCCTCAGTATCACGACACTGCACACTCAGCTCCCAGCACCGAACCTTTGGAAGACACATTCAAGCCTTACCTGGCCCGTACCCAGCAGCGCCCCTTATCAAAGTCCTTAAACAGGCCTATATTTTGTCTCAGGCAAGAATGAGTACTTCTTGCTCTCTTGGGATGAGATCCCATGAATTTACAGGAATTTCCCAGATGTCAGTGCTTTTTTTTTTGTCTGCAACCTCTTCATCCCAAAGCTTGGTACTCGTGAAGCCACATTTCAAAGCTCTTTTCTGCCTGGCCATGTGTTAAGTAAGTTCTCCAAAAGAGTCACGTGGGAGGACACTGACATGAAATGTGAGCATGAGATCACACTCATGTGCAACCCTGAGGATGTGGTCTCACCAGAGGCTCCAGCAGCGGTCCAACCTAGAGTAACAGTGAGACGGCTGGGCCATTCTGACAAACTGAGCGTCAGGTCTGAGAAAGCTCGTGTATTTCCAAGCTGACACGGGATCTGGTCAAACAAAGCTTTACAGAGAGGTGCACCCTGGTCGCTCAGTCCACACAGACCCAGCCATGAGATGACACCCTGGGACAGTTCCTCCTCACAGAGGATGTTGGGTTTGCTCCATCTAGCCTCTTCCCACAACCTGCCTTCCTTCCAGTGGTTCTTCATCTGCCTCTAAGCATTCATTAGAAGCCTTGTCTGTAGACCATGAAGGAAGAGCCACAGGTGGTGACCCACAGTCTTAGTGCGTCTGGTCTATTGAGAGAAGCAGTGTAGACACTGCTGTAAATTCAATCCATCTTGTCACACACAGATTCTTTTGAGGGAGGCGCCATAACAACAGGCCATTGTTTCCGGCTACTTTTCACATCAGCAGCTGAAAAAAGATTTCCCTTGGGGATAAAGGTGTTTAAGCCCACTTAGGAATAGATTTTAAAGTTACCCTCATCTGTTTCTTTCTCTAATTAGAGTCCTTGTTTATTATAACTTTAAAACAAAAAGCAGATTTTTGTCTAATAAAACAATGCAGTCCAGATCTGCTTATTCAAAAATTTGATCCCAAAGGGAAGGTACACTGTGTACAAAACCTCAGGAGAACAACAGACAAGAGCAGAGGAAAGAGAAACAGTGCATTTCTGGCTGGTGTGTGGCTTTGTGGCTTTATATTTATTCACTCATTTGGTCTCTGTGGCTCAACTCAATTAGCAGATAGAAACCTTTGAGCCCTGAGAACAGGAGCCCTTGAGGACCTCACCCAAGTACAGAGGCAAACTGTGCCCCAAATGGTAATGCCGTGGGAGTTGCCGCAGCCCCTCAAGTTTCCTGAGCCCGTGCCAGCCTCAGGAAGCACACATACCAAACCAAAGGGAGGCCCCACAGTACTGACTGCAGCAGGAATCTCCGGAATGTATTTTTGCAGCAGGCTTGTACCATGTGGTACTGGTTATCCATTTCCAGCATCAGGATGTTTCCTTAGGACTTACCTCACCTTGTTTTCCTAGACACACGGAACTTTCTAGAGAGACCAGCGGAGGCCAGTGGGCCTGAAGGGCAGTCACTGTAGAGGCCCAGCAGTAGTGGCTGATTGAGGCCATCAGGAAGTCGGCTTTGGGAGGAAAGAGTGTACATTGAAGACTTAGTTCACTTTCAGACTGAAGTAAAAATCCTATTAGCTAGGGATTCCTGTATCTATGTACATGACTGGTTTTATAGAGAAAAAATTAGTTCAAACTGCCATGATTATCATTTCTAGTTAATGTATCAAAAATTACTGAAAAATAAATATTCTCTCTTAATAAAGAATCCTGGGTACTCTCTAAAATTTATTTCAAAAGCAAGTCTTCTGTTTCTGCCCAAGTGTCTTTATCAAAACCTCTAGAACTTAGCAGCCTTCACTGTCAGAGAGCAGAGGAGGTGAGCTGCAGGTTCGGGCCTGTAGGAACCATGGAGGAAGCCACTCAGGGCATGCAGAAAGGAATGGTCATGTCGCCCCTCCTATCAGGCACAGCCGAAGGGAAAGGATTAAATCTGCGAAGGTGTTAGGTGTTCTAACTCCTTGCTTCCCCATCCCGCGCGCTCCTGCCCCGCTAAGAATGAACTGTAGAGTGTACCTGTACAGTGCACAGGACTTGTCCTCCCTTCGCCCCTCATGCCCAGGTCAGCACCTAACGCCCACAGGCTCTGGGTGAGCTCTGGAAAGAGGGGTTTCCCACGGCGCCTGGCTTCTCCCGAAGCTCAGACTGTGAGAGCGATGAGCATCTTTTTTTTTTTTTTAATTCCTTGTGCAGTGTATCCTGATTGCAGTCACTCCCGTTACCGCCTCCCACCCCTCCCGCTAGTCTCGCACAATGGGTGTCCTCCTAGGAGTGATGTGCTTTGCCCCCCCCCCCCCCCGCTGTGCTGCGACGATGTTGTCCGTGAGATACTATGATTTAGGACACGGCTCTTTGAGTAGGCTTATAAAAGTGACTTTGAAGAAATATTCTGTTGGGTTGGTTTTGCTGACAATGTGAAGTTAGACTTCCACCATCAGAATTCTTCCATGTTTTGACTTATTCTGGTTTTTGCCATACCAAGTATGTCTGTGGCCTCTGGCCACTGCAGCAGATGAGCATGAGCTGGACGGCTTAAAACAGGGATTAATTCTCTCGTAGATCTGGAAGCCAGAAATCTACCCTCAGAGTGTGCGCTGGGCCTGCACTCATGTCTGACCCCTGGCCTCAGGACCACGTGCAACCCAGGATAACCATGAGTGGGGCCCAACACAAAGTCATAAACCTACTGAAAATATTAGGAGCCTTTTGATAACTCCTTTACACGGTTCCCAGGCAGGAATTTTGTAGATGACAGTGTTGCGTTACGATATCAAGGTTGGCCATGTCTGCCAGGGGCCTCCGTTCTCTGCCGCCTCGAGAGCTGGTTCCCTGGCTTGTTGCTACAGTGTGCCAATCACGGTGTCTGTGGTCTCTCTGCCTCTCCTGTCAAATGTCCCTCTTCGTCAATCTTTTTCTCATGATTTTTTTTTTTTTTACTGTAGTAAATAGACATAAAATTTACTATCTTGACCATTTTCATCTTAACCACTTAAAAATCTGTAGGATGACGTGAAGACACAGTGCTGTGCAGCCTGCTACCGACTACCTTTGAAACCCTCCCCAGGGGTCTGTGCTCACTAGACAATCAGCCACTGCCTCTTCCTCCCTCCCCCAGCTGCCGGCAATGCGGACTGGAGAAGTACCTGGTAAGGGCACTGGCCGCTCTTACAGAGGACCCAGGTTTGACTCCCAGCACCCACACGGCTGCTAACAGCGGCCTGTAACTCCAGTCTCAGAAGATCCGATGTACTATCCCGGCTCCCATGGGCGCTGCACACACACGCTACACTGACATAGGTGCAGACAAAACGCCGCACATAAAAAAATTAAAGTTACAAAGAAAGAAAGGCAAAAATTACAACAAATCAGACGTGGCCCCCTTGGAGCTAGGAAGTATCCGTGTGGAGATACTGCTTTGTTTCATTTGAAAATTGAGGTTGTTAAACATCTCCTTAAAGCCATCCTGTCTCTCCCAGTCAGGTACAACCGCCCTGTTCTTCGCTGCCCAGCAAGGCCACAATGACGTTGTGAGATTTCTCTTTGGATTTGGAGCATCCACTGAATGTCGGACCAAAGTAAGAGAATTGAGGTCTTGACTTCACACCCTGTTGAAGACTGCGGAAGCGCAGTCACGCCATTCATTTCCTCCCTATCAGTGTCACAGACAGTGCTTCTCTTTCTGGGAGATCCTGAAGCCTAAGGCAGTGGGTTTCAGAGGTTGCTGTAGCGGTTCAGGATTAGTCAGTCTTTGGGATTCCTTTTAAGTTCTGCACTTGCAGAATTTCATGGGGGATTGCTTAAACTCTTTCTTGCCTCATTCGTTTGCTATTCAGGGACTTTATAGGCAGGTGTCTCCCTAACAGGCCTTATTTCTGTGTTTTATTCTATTTCTGTATTAGTTCCAATACAGCAATGGGAATTATTGGAAGTCCCGACCCGGTCGTAGTGAGCCTGGGGCGCTTCTGAGCCGGCTATCTGGCAGGCAGTCTGCACGCATGGGCTATCCTCACAAATAGACAGTCTCAAACTGAAGGTCACAGAGTTGAGCAGGGGATGTGGTTCTTCCTTTAAAGGGGATTTTCATTTTCACTTTTCTATGCAGGTAAGGAAACAAAGTGGAAGAAAATGATGAATTTTGTGTTTGTGTGATTTTTTATGTCTTACAGCAGGAAATTTTGAGCTGATATAAGATCTTTGTTATTTTCGGCTCATTACTTAGGTCTACTTGTAATGTTAATTCCTGAATTTAGCCAGGAGGGGTGGCACATGCCTATGAACAATCCCACCGCTCAGCAGGCAGAGGCAGGCAGATTTTTGAGTTTGAGGCCAGCCTGGTCTACAAAGTGAGTCTAAGACAGCCAAGGCTACACAGAGAAACCCTGTCTCAAAAAAGAAAAGAAAAGAAAGAAAGAAAGAAGAAAAAAGAAAAGAAAATTTTATTCCATGAACTTTATTCATTCCCTAAACTTTAGCCCATGATGAAAAATCTTAGATTTTCTTAATTGATCGTATATAATAATTAGATACCAAGGAAGTTTCCATTAGATCTCTCCTCTAATGAAATGTTATCAAATGGTCTGGATGTCATATAGAGTTGTGTCTCCTCTAATACTCATTAATAAATTGTGTGCATGCCTTGAAGCATATAATATAATACAAAACACACATAATTATCCTAATTATCCCTTTGTCATTATAAAACTGAACTAACAGGGGCCCAAGTTGCTCGGTGGGTATGTTTGCTGCATAAGCGTGAGGACCTGTGTGCACGTCCTCAACACCCATGTAGAAGCCGGGCAGCATGACATGCATCCGTAACTGCAGCCCTGAGGGGAAGGGGCAGGAGAGACAGAGGGAGCCCGACGGCAGGCAGCCGGTATACACAAACCGATAGGTCCAGGTTCAGAAACAGACTCTGTCTCAAAAAGTAAGGTGAACCAATGAAGACATCCTGAGATCAACCTCTGGCCTCCACGGGGGGGGGGGGGGGGGGTGAGCCCGTGTACTTGCAGGCACACAAGCATATGCATGTGCGCACACACAGACACACACGTCACAACTAAAGCAGTGAGTTCACTGAACTTAAACCTCAACACCTTAGATCTAAGAACGGTCACGCGTGTCCGCATGGCTCCTGCAGTCATCTTCTTGCTGAACAAGTTACTACTGGATTAAAGCCTTTATGTGGGGGCCCATCTGTGCTCCCACAGAGCCCAGGATGAGCAAGTCCATGATTCCTTGAGGTCAACCTCGGGTGCTTTAAGAGGTGTCTTCCCTTCCATGGGAAGAAGGGAATGTCAGGAGGTGATGAGTTTTATGTGAACCTGTCATCAAAAGCTGGCTTGGTTTTAAGACTCACCCTTTGTTACTAAGTGTACGAAATCCATAGCCTGGAAATGTTTTAATAAAAGAGATTGGTCCTCCTGTCATAGCCAGGGTACTTCACTGTTCTTTTACCTCACCTCACTTTCTGCAGAGAGCGCAGAAAGTTGACAGGACAGAGCTTCAAAGGAGCAATAGTCATCACTGCTATGAAACGATAGTCTTGCTGTCCCCCATCTTGCCACCAGCCTCAGCCTTCTGCCCCTCTCCTCTCTGCTCTCCAAGGCCACCTCAGCCTTCTTCCTCACCAGTTGGTCCCTCTTGTACCAGAATGTCACTTTGACTATGAACACAGGAACTCTATAGCAGAGATTTCATAGGGGAGGCCACCTGCCCCCTGCCTTTCACAGCCACACCCCACATGACTAGTTAAAAGGCTTATTTTCTGGGCCTCACCCAGGACCTTCCAAATCAGACCTTCTGAAGCTAGAACTCAAATAAAGAAAATAAAATCTTATGCCCAAATTTAGGAATGACTCTAACATATTTATAATTAGTATTTTTAGCCAGGTTACATGTTTTTGAATTATTAGTGATTTGCTTAAATCTCCGCATCACAGTTCACAGGCCCAGTAGCGCCTGGGGAGAGCCATTAATGGCCCTGACCACAAACTGAGTGAGTCAGTAGCGTGATGTGGTTAGCATAAGTGCTTGTTCTAATTTCAGCTGCAGAGATAAAAGTGGAGTTGATGGGGCAAAGGGGCACCCCACTCCGCCTTAGAGCGTGATTTCTCTACAGGGCCTGCTCAGTGCTAGGGCCATGCTCTAAGAGAGGCCCAGACAGACTGGCCCGTGTTCAAAGGAAGGCACTAACACAGCGCAATGCCCTCATCTGCTCCTTTAACAAAGGCATACCTTGTCCCATGAAAACAATGGCTTCAGGTGGGTAAGCATCTTCAAACTCAATGGCTTCCAACCTGATGGCACCACAAGGAGAAGGCAGTGTTTGACAAAGGGTCCTCTGGTCAGAAGCCGTGGAAGGCTTCCCCAGTGATTCTGAGACGGAGTTGACAAAACTCACGGGTGCGCCACCCTCCCCATGCTGAGAGGGGAGTGGATGGCTCCTCCTTGAGTGCAGGAAAGTTTGTAATGATACTAACTTGGGGAGATAACTGCATTACCTCCTGCAAGGTTATCCAAGACAACAACGTTCTCATGACCTTAAGATGAAATCTTTCATGGTCATAAAGAAAAGCTGAGAGCTCGAGAGATGATGCCACAGTTGAGAGCACTTGCTGCTCTTCCAGAGGACCAGGGCTCAATGTCTAGCACCCACGTTGGATGGCTCACAGCCTCCTGTCCAGTTCCGGGAGATCCAACATTCTGCTCTGGCCTCTGTGGGCACCCCACATACACATGGCATAAGCTCAGACACACATGTACATGCAAATAAGAAATAAAGCAAGTCTTTATAAAAGGAAGAAAAGATAAAAGAGGCGATGGAAGGAAAGTGAGTTTATTATCTCCGGGGATGGTCTTTCCCAAGACTGTGTGAAGGGTATACTTGGTGAAATAAAAGTTGTGCCATATCTAACGCACGCGCCCTTTTCTTCCACAGGATGGGGGCACTGCCCTGTTGGCTGCCAGTCAGTATGGGCACATGCCAGTGGTGGAAACCTTGCTGAAGCATGGAGCCAACATCCATGACCAACTCTATGTGAGTGTTTCAAGAGGGCACTTGCTCATCCCTTGATCACAGCTAACATTCGACCTTAATTCCAATGTTAGAAGTGTCAGCTTAAAGCACACTAGAAAACATGCGCATCTTTCTTTGAAGACTTTTACTACTTTAATGATGTGTTTGGGGGTGTATGTTCGTGTGAAGGCAAGTGCCCACACAGTGTCAGATGCCCTGGAGCTGGGGTTACAGGCAGTCATAAGCTACCTGACATGGGTGCTAGGCATTGAACTCAGGTCCTCAGGAGGAGGAGGATGTGCTGTTAACCACTGGGCCATCTGTCCATCCCTATTCAGTGGGGTTTTCACCTGAGACACCAAGAGAAAATCAGCTGACCAGGTGAGTTTTCCCTGCCACAGAAACCACGTGTTTACTCACCTCTCTTCTCCCTTCCAAACCTGCTGCGCATCTGAAATATTCCACTCATGCAGCTTAGCCGATCCCAAGTCCTCCCGTACGCACTCAATCGCACCATGACAAGCCAGGGTCCAGGGTGTGGGTCACACCGCCCTGTTGTCAAGACGCTAGTGCAGAATGGCCCCAAGAGGAGAAATCAAGTTATTCCAAAGAGAAACAAGTGAGAGGTGAAAACCTTGGAGCTGTGCACACAAGGAAGGGCTGTGAAGGACAGCTCTGCCATCTGAGTCTGTTTGCAGCTAATTGGCAATTAGTTGTAGCCCAAGGGCCCTTCTAATTGTCCCTGCAATTCCGTAGGCTTTATGACAAATGTTATCCTAGATTTGTAGGAAAAATAAAATATGGGGGCTGAGGTGACTTGACAGTCTCAGGGAAGGGAGGGAGAGAGGCTTGCTTCCAATTATCCAGGAACTATATTTTCGGGCATATCCCTCAAGTACACTGTAAGCCCTTATGCCAAAGGCGTCAGGTTTGCATGGCCAAATAATGGGCCGCGTAGGTGTGCAGGTTTCCATTTGAGTATCCTTTCCAGAGCTTCCCTCGTTAACTCCGACAAATTGCAGGCCTCTTTGAAGTCCATAGCAACTAGCCTTACCCTCGGGCATTTCAAAGAGTGTGAGGCTCTGAGCCTTGATCTCAGCATGTCTGAGATCCTTGATAGCATTCTAACCAAGCTCTTTCAACCTGGCTGCCCATTAGACGCACCTGCCCTGCGGAGCTTTCCAAACTGCGGGCCCCAGACACCCCCTGAGCCCAGAGGAGCCCATGTCTGTTTTCCCAGCGGCAGCATGGGGAGGTTCTGAGAAACACAGGTGGGCCTGGGGGGTGGCTCCGTAGGTAAGATGTTTGCTGTGCGAACCTGAGAACCTGAGCACCCACATACAAAGCTGTGACATGTAACCCCAGCCCTGAGGAGGTGGGAGAGACAGGAGGACCCAGGTTTGCTGGCCAGCTCGCCTTGCCAAGGAGTTGTGGGCACAGTGAGACCCTATCTGCCAAACTAAGGGGAAGAGCATCCAAGAACACCAAATGCTGACCTCTAACCAATGTGCTTGGGTAAACATGCATGCACACCTATACCACACACGTGAGCACACATATTCCACACACAGAGAAAAGAAGGAAGAATTAATGTATGTCTAAAGCTTTGGCTATTAGACATACATTAATGTATGTCTCTATTAAGCTGTGTAAGTAAAGAAGAGTTGAGAGTCTATATGACTGTATGTGCTGGGGGGGTCGGGGGGGAGCAAGGTCGACTAGAAAAGGCCCAGAGACTTTAGAAATAGAAAGCCAGTTTTTTCTTTTCATAGCATGGGCCCACTGTTAGCGGTGTGGGTTGAGGGTGGATGTAAAATTTGCCCTCGTTAGACAATACCCTTCCAGAAGGCTCTTAGAAATACAGACTTCAGCACAGCCCCAGTTCATAGTAAACTCCCCTCCGTTATAAGGTGAATTAAGAAATTTCGAAAGCTGTAAAATTTGTTTTTACTTTTGGTAAAATGGTCCAAATATTTCTGTTAAAAACAGTTGACCTGGATGTAGTGGCGCACACTTTTGATCCCAGTACTAGGGGAGGCGGAGACAGGTGTGTGTGTGGGCGGGGCGTGGTCTCTGTGAGTTCAAGGACAGCCTGGCCCACCTAGTGAGTTCCAAGTTAACCAGGGCCGAAGAGCGAGACCCTGCATCAAAAATAAAATTAGATTAAAAGGATGGGGGACTAAAAGTTGTGACGCGCAGTGAGAAACACAAGGTGTAGTCTGTCTCCGAAAAGTCTGCAGTCGGCCGCAGCTACGAGCAGGGAAGTTCTGCACCAACGCGTTAAGAAGCAGCTAAGATTTGTAAGCGTAACCAGACAGCTGCCTAAAAACGTGTACCGGCTGGTTCCTTTCAGTGACTGCTTCAAGGGCAGTCTGGTAGCTCAGTATACACCCCGTGGAGATCCAGCCCCCTACAGCTGACACGCCTGGCTAGATTTGTGCAGCAAACGTTTGGGGTTCTAGCTTGTCATTAATGTTCCCAGCACAGGGTGTGGTAATTAGCAAGGTGTTTACTCCACGAGGGAATGTCCAGGTTTCCCATGGTGGAGCAGATATTCTGAAGTGAGTGCCTGGACTAATGCAACCTGTACATTTGCTGAAACCAGAAAGACATGCTGCTGAGGAAGAAAAAGAAAACGTTCCCTACCACCACCCCAAACCTAGAAAAGCTCACTGAGACTGGGGCTCTCACTTTGGGCTTGGCGCATTTGCCCTTTGTGTTCAGAGGTATTGCAGTGGCTGCTGGGCTGGCGGAAAGCAGCAAGAAAAAGTCTTTCTTTTTTTTTTTTTTTTTTTTTTTTTTTTGGTTTTCTGAGACAGGGTTTCCTCTGTCCTGGAATATTCTTTTTCCAGAATATTCTTTGTAGCCCAGGCTGGCCTCAAACTCTTATTTGTCCACCTCTGCCTTCAGAGTGCTAGGATTAAAGGTGTGTCTTTCTTTCTAAGGCAGTTTTCTGAAATGGTTTTTTTCATGCTAGGCTAGAATTCCGACACTGAGCCTCTAAGCCCTTTAATACTCAGAGAAACTGTGTTGAGGGGATGTGCATAAGGGAGCAAGAAAGATGCCAAGGAAAAGATACTAACTCCCAATCCATACAGTCACAGAAAATGGAGTCTGGGAGATGGCTCAGTTCAGAAAAGGGCTTGCTTCCTGACATGAAGACTTGAACTTGATCCCAAGAACTTCAGTAAAGTAACAATGATAATGACAATAATAATAAAGCAGGGTCTGCTGGGGAGATAGCTCAGCCATTAAAAGCGGCATTGCTCTTGCAAAAGACCCCAGTTCCATTCCAAGCACCCACCTGATGGCTCACAACCATCTGTAACTCCAGCTCTAGGGAATCCAGTGTCTGCTTCTGGTCTCTGAGAGTACCAAGCACGCACACATATATGTGCAGACAAAACATCCATACACATACAATAAAATAAATCTTTAAAAACATTTTAAAGCTGGGTGTGATGGCTGATGCATGCAATCCCAGCTCCTGGGAGACAGAGACGGACAGATCCCTCAAGCCAAGCAGGCTAGTCTACATGGTAAGCCCCAGGCTAGTGAGAAAGCCTTTGTCAAGGAAGACAGAACCTCCTTGACGAATGAGCCTGGAGGTTGTCCTCCGGCCTGTGTGTGTGTGTGTGTGTGTATGTGTGTGTGTGTGTACATTCGAGAGCTCAAGGGGGCATTCGTGCCCATTGCCCGTGTCTGGCACGCACGCGCGCGTGCGCACACACACACACACACACACACACACACACACACACAAGCATAATTTGTTTACCTAGCAGCTCTTAATTGGCAAAAGAGTAGACTCGGAAAAAAGAAGGCAAATGGGGAGCTTTATTAAATTATATACCTTTACTTTCAAAATAAACCTGACTCTGAACACCTTTCTCTCAGGACGGAGCCACAGCCCTCTTCCTAGCTGCCCAAGGTGGCTACTTGGATGTCATTCGACTCCTGCTGTCTTCGGGAGCAAAGGTCAACCAGCCAAGGCAGGTAATGTCCACCTCTGAAGTCCGTGGAGCATGAGGCGGGGAGTGCCAGGCGCCTGACACGGCTGGCACAGGCCGTCACCATAGGCACACTTCCATCCCACTTCTCCCATGAGAGGTTAGTCTGTGATTAAAGATGGCTGCTGCCCTGTGCTTTGAACTCAGCTGGATGCCTCTGAACTCAAGCTGACGTCACGGTTCAGTACTTTGGAAACGTGAGTGTTTAATGTCTGAGGTCAAGCACACACTCTGCCACCTCCTGTCCAAATAAATTATGACTGTGCTGAAGTAGAGAGTGTTGGCTGGCCCGGGACGTAGGCAAACAGAGGCAAGTCCTGCCTGATCTCACTCCTGATATGTTGCCATAGCTCCCGCCTAGCACTTTTCCCAGCAACCCAAAAGGAGCTCTTGACATGAATCATGAGTCATGACAGGAATCATGAGTGGGTGCTGTGCCTTCATCGCTCATACTGCCATTGAGACTTCCTTTAGCAGAATCTGATATCTGCTACCATCTTGCAATTCAGCCAGATGATACCGACCAGAGCTCAGGAATGCAAGATAACACTGGGGGTGTTTTCTATATGGTAAACAGTACAGTAGCATAGCCTGCTTTTCTGTAGGAACCATCTGTGCTCTCATTAATTCATTGCATCTGAGGTTAAGAAAACATTGCTATGAAAGCTTTTGTTGTTGTTTTGTTTGCTTGCTTTAGAGGACTCAAAACTGATTTCTGAAGCAGTACTACCCTGAGGCAGGCTCCCACTATAACTGATCTGGTGCGGGAAGCTGGGGCGTTTAAATAACACCCAGCTATGGGGACCCTCTGGATGCTCTGTGCTCCTGGCCACAGGCTTCTCGGGTCTTCATTAACCTAACTGCTTAAGGAATGAAAAAAGGGTCTGGGCATAGTAGGTTTGCCGTCAGCAATCTAGGCTTCTAGGCCAGCTTTGCCAGTAACTGTGTTTTGGTTTGCGGGGGAGGGGCTGGTTTTGTCTTTGAGACAGGGTCTTACTAAGTAGCCCCGGCTTGCCTCATGCTCATGATTCAGCCTCTTCAGTGCTGGCATTGCAGGCGGCCACCACCATGACTGCTTAGCTCTGTGGGGTTGTTTACTTAATTTAAATGTTTTATTTGTGCCTGTGCATGTGTGTTCACACGCATGCTACAGAATACGTGTGGAAAGCAGAGGACAGCTTTTGGGGCTCTGTTCTTCCACCTTAGATTCTAGAGGTTGAATTCATGTCATCAGGCTTGCGTCACAAGCGCCTTTGCCCAGCAAGCCATCTTGTGAACCCAACTGTATAGTTCTGACAAGCAAAACAAGGCCTCCAGGCCTTTGCCTTCATCGTGGCAGGAAGGATGCCCCTGAGAATCCCCTCAAACTCCCAGGGCTTTGATAGTTGTTCCGTCAGCATCGCTGGAGCGGTTCCCATGCACCGGGTATAGCTACAAGTGAAAACTTACATGTCTTCCAATTTTAAAGATTTTCTCAGCATGACATGGCTCCAGAAATACCCCCGGAAGGAAGCAGTTTAGAAAAAGTTGCACATCAGGAATAAAGAGGTGACTTTCAGTGAAGCAAGCATGACCTATATGGAAGCCCCAGAACCCATGTGAAAATGCCAAGTGTGGTGGCACTCATCTGTGACGATAGCACTGGAGAAGCCGAGACAGGAAACACACAGAGCTCCCTGCCAGCCAGCCTAATATATAATATATATATTCATATATACATATATTCATATATATATATATATATATATATATATATATAAAATCCACAGGCCAGTGAGAGACCCTGCCTCAGAAAACAACGCTCCTGAAGAAGTACACCCATGGGCAGTGTCTGGCCTTCACAACACACACACACAAACAAACAAGCACACACACACACACACACACACACACACACACACACACACGCGCGCGCACACACACTACGCATACACACATACAAAGAGAAAGAAAAACAACTGCACATCAGGCCTGCCAAGGCTGACATGTGGAAGATGGAGTTTAATATTCTGTTAAGTTATTCTGACCTGGAAGGATTCTGTTGTACTTAGTGAAAGGAGTTGGCAGGCCCTGAGTGGCGTGAGTTTGATAGGGAGGTCCTTACTGCCACAGGCTCCCTGTGAACTTGGAGGCCAGAGACTATAAGGATTGCCGGGTTTCTATCATTACATCTTTGCAGAATAATTTCTGTCTCTTTAACCAGTCTGTTTGTAAAATACATTTTATTATTCCTATTCCTACAGTCGTGTTTGCTTAAAAACAATACCCAAGCTGACAGGAATGGGGATTTCAGAGACTGCATGGGCGCGTGTGCACTTCAGCCTGAGCTGAGTCACCTGTTGTCACTGAAGCCAGAAAGTTAAAAAGTAAGCCAGCATGGCAGCAGTAACCACAACACATCACAGGTGTTTGCATTCCACACGAGTGAGGTTCACCTGGCCAGTGGCTAACCCGGCCTGTGAGGACAAGGACCCGCTCTGTGGTCAGAAAGCAAGGGGCACGCCCTTCCAAAGACTGCTTCAAACAAAGCACTTTGTAGGAGTCCAGCTCTGAAAAGACTGTTATTCAGGAAAGGTGTTTCATAAAGATAAGCATTACCCGAGGTGGGAGCAATGAAACGTTTCCTTTTCATTGCATGTGCTCTCTGCATGCTGAGCTCCAACAGTCTCTGCTAGGAGCCTGGACTTCTCCAGATAAAGAGTGCCCTGTCTAGGTCAGTCATTCCATGGCCTGCCTTCTCTGAACCTCTGCTGGCTTCATTCTGTTTAAGAAAACAAATCATAAACATGGCAAAAGTCGTGCAAGCGTGGCTGACCTGGTTACAAGTCATTCAGCAGCTTAAGAAAAGCGTGATTTAAAGTTCTCATCACAATGGCTTGCTCAGGGTGGAACCTTATGGGCAGGGTGTCTGGGCTGCTGCTTTGTTCTGAAATCCCCACTTGCTCATCACGTCTTCATGAGAAAACACTGCATTTAAAAAGTAAGGACAGGGATGTGCGCCTGGTTTTCCAGTTCTTGATATTTTCAGGTAAACTTGATCCCTATGTGCATGGGTGTGTGTCTGTGTGTGTGCACTATCCTAATGTGCGCAGGAGCCAGAGGTCAATCTCAGCTGTCTTCCTTAGCAGTCACCCACCTTCTGTCTTGAGACAGTCTCTCCCTGGAACCCGAAACTATCTGGTCAGCAAGTCTCAAGGACCCCCTGCCCCTCTTCCCAGCTCTAGGTTAGAAGCACATGTTGCCACACCCAAATCAAATTCTGGTCTCCTTGAGCACCCGAGAGCGCGCGCACGCACACACACACACACACACACACACACATGCACACTGGCCATTCTGCAGAGTCCTGCCACTGGCATCTGTGGCAAGATGCTGATGAAGCAGCCCTGAAATTGCCCAGCTGACATTTGGTATGACTCCGGGATCAGACCTGTAGCAGGAATGGCTGCTCCTTGTAACTCTCTCCCTGAGAAGTGAACAGAGGGCTTGTTAGTGCTCTGTGCTGAGGAAGCGTGGTCCCAGAGCAAGCCACAGTCGGGTGCTGGGGTGGAGTGCCCCTTGAGATGTTCCTTCCGCATTGTCCTACCACTCATAGGTCAGGAGTCTCGGGGGTCACTGACGTCCACGGTCACTCGGAAAACTCATTTTTGTTTCTTCCACGTGCCCTACTCAAGGAGAGCCTGACAGGGGCCAGATCTTTCTAATCACTGGCGAAGATGGCTACTTAATCCACCTGCCTTGACACACACTTTCCCCCAGCTCAACTCACTCACTTTACTAGAGCAGCATTTTGCAGAGCGGCCAAGCTGGCCTTGTTCACCCAGCACCGGGCTGGCCTGTCTTCGCTCGTCTCTACCTCGGCCCCTCCTCTACTTGCCGAAAGACCATCTAATGAGTGCATTTCCTGACCCAGCAGTTCTTGGAGGGGAGCATCACCTAAGATCTTTGGAAAACACGGATATTTACATTACAGTCCATAACTGTAGCAAAATTACAGTTATGAAGTGGCAATGAACATAGTTTTGTGGTTGGGGGTCACCACAAGGTGAGGAGCTGTATGAAGGGGTCTCTTAAAAAGATTGAGAACTTTCCAGAGTGGCTGGAACCCAGAAAGTGAATACTATCTCGGGTCAAGAGCCGGGAGGCAGGTGTGAAATGGGAGAGACAGGAGCTTTCGGGCTGCTCTATGGTCCCAAGCACGTGGGTCCTGAAGCGGACCCCATAGGAACACATGTGGGGGGCACAGCCGTCCCAGCCCCTCCACATGGCAGGCACTGAAAGAGCCTCCACCAGAAAGGCCCCTGTGACGTGGGCAAAGCACCAGGCAGCTCTGTGGCCCAGAATGGCCTGTGCCCGGAAACTGGAAGGTGACCCATACCTGTGGCCGCACGGAAGCTCCAGGCCGCCGCAGCAGTCACGGGGCGAACTCAGGTCTTCAGACTGAGGGAAGCTCACGGTCCTAAACATACGGGTGTTCAGAAGATGAGACATGCCAGTTTTCCACGAGCTTGAGCAAGGTCTGCCTTCCCTGGACCTCAGCTGCTTCTCATCTCTAAATTCAAGACAGTAATAGCAACTTCCCTCTAGAACCGCTATGAGAATTACTACATAAAATCACCGGGGAAAATTCTTCCTGCAGTGGCTCTGGGTTGGACTGACACTGGTAGCAAAGTCACACACTTAGTGTCACCGTTTTTGGTGCGGCCACTTGCATCTTGAGAACCCCCAGCTAGCCCTGGTGTTGGTCCCAGAGACTGTGAGGCCTGAAACCTGCAGGCGGAGGCAGCTCATGCCTGAAGGCTGGAGGGCCTACAAGCAGAGCATTTCACACACTCGGGCCTGTGGAACTGAACGGGTTCGTTTCTTTTTCTAAGCAGATTTCAGAAGCCTAGAAAAGATTACAGATTCATTTTTAACACGAGTGCTGTTGTATACTCTACCTGTAAAATATATAGGTGTAGCCAGAAAATAGGCACAGATTTGGTAGGAAATGCAAAAGTCAGCCCACTAACAGTTCGTTTGGGACTTAGGTACTTCAGTCCCATCTGTAATCACCAGGCGGTGTGGAGCGCCTTCAGACACAGGCGCGCTGCTCTTTTTTGGGGCTGACAGCCTTGTCCAGCCCTCAGGGTCCCGGGCTTCGCTGGCCCTCCAGGCCCTTCATCCATTAGTCCTCTCTCTTCCGATCTACGAAGTACGTCCAAATCTTCTTTCCCTTGGCGTGAGCACAAGTGTCAAATGTCAGCTACGACCCGTGACTCTTTTCTTTTTTCAGCGGCTTGGGGTGCAGGGGAAATGGTGCAGCCTGCCTCATGAGCGTGGAGACCTGAGTTTGGAACCCCCACGCACACACACAAACCACGGTGCACCGTGCTCGTCAGAACACGTGCCGAGGGAGGAGAGGCCGCCTCCTGAGCTCACCGACCAGCCAGCCTGGACACAGGGATGAGCTCTGTGGGAGGTGCTGGCTCGGAAACTAAGGTGACAGTCATCAAGGGAGGCACCTGACCTCAACCTCATGTGCACATGCGCACACACATGTACATATACCCTCGTGCATAGGAGCATACACCCACCTGTTCACACTCGAGCTCCTACACACACACACACACACACACACACACACACACACAGAATGAGAGTCTGTGTACTGTGGAGGATAGAAGTTTCACTTCACAACGATTTGTTCTACTAAATACATTGTAAACTTTTTTTTTTTTTTTTTTTTGGTCCTTAAGTAGTCAAAAATATTAAAATAACCTTTTGGCCCGTTCCAATTCACCCCAAAATCCCGTAAAAGAAAAACAATTTGATTTGTAGTCCATCGTTTTTATTATGAAAAGGAAGACATTAGGTCTGTAATCCCAGCACTCAAGAAGAGGAAGCAAGTGGATCCCTGTGCGCCGAGGGCAGCCTGGTCTACACAGCAAGCTCCAGGACAGCCAACGAGAGGACTCTGCTACTCAACTAGACAGTAAGAACTGGACTTGACCGTATGACCTGACACGTACTCCCTGGGTTCAAGTCTGGAGACATGATCACTAGTAATGAGACTCACCGGTGACCCCGCATGTCCTTGACCAGTCAGTAGGTCCTAGCTGCCTCCTGCCCACCCACTTGCTGTACCGGTCCCCGGAGGACTTGGTAAAAGAAATCGGGAGGAAGAGCTTGAGGAACCAGAAGTGCAAGTCAGGGGTTTATGTTGTTCTTGGTAAACAGTGCTCGGGTCCAGGAATCAGTTTCTGAGCCCCTATCGTCTTGGTGCTCACCGCCTTTGCCCGCGCTTGCTCAGCAAGGTAGTGAGCTGACTGTGCAGGGTGACATGTTTGCAGAAGATGCTGAGGCTGAGCGGGGCCGCCCAAGCTCTGGCAGGCAGGAAGTGCTGGCTGGGTTTTTGGTTTTTTCTAATTAAGGTGAGCGCTCTGAGCGTTGCTGTGACTGCTATAAACTGAGGGTCGAGCTGAGACATTCACGGGCAGCTTTAGTAAAACAAGCAAGCCTTTGACAAGCATGCTCACAAGACAGCCAAACTCCCTTCTCTGGCCGCCCTCTGGTGGACACATCTGAGAAGGACGAAATAGACCCAGAGCAGGCAAGAACAGGGCCCGATCACCTTAAACATGGCCCCGAAGACACTGTAAATGCATGCTTGTCCTGCTGCCTGGCAAAATCCTGGTCTTCCTTCCCAACTCAGCTCTGACCCCATCTGTGAGCTTGAACTCAACGCCCCAGGCGTCAGAGGCTCCTTCTCCTAGGTCCTTGTGCATGTTTCTCACCCACTATCCTTTGCAGCTGTACAGAAATGTCAACATTCTCTCCTCCTCTGGACTTGCTCTTGAAAACAGAGACTCCTCTCTAATATTCTGCCTGAGATGTTTCATAATTCTCTGTTGATTGGTTCAGTGGATGGATACTTAATTAAATCCTTAACTGGGAGAATGAAATGAACACTGTGGAGGTTCTCATCATAAATAATAGGCAGCTTTTTAGTTGGTGCTTTTAGTACAAGTTATGATTTGTTAACGATGGTATATACCCACCTTCAGGAGTAGTTCCAGGAGGCTGAGGCGTGAAAGAAGTGTGAGGAGTCTGTAGCCTCCTCTAGCCTTTGTTTGAGCTCCTCTTTCCCCACCTCTACCAAGACACAGGCGCCAACATGCTTTGCTTCTCGTGTCCCCCTGGCCTTTTAATTTGTCATTTTCAACTATGCAGCTCAAAGGTCCGCCCTCCAATGCTCTGCCAGGGTGCAGTCAAAGGTGGTGCACGTACGCCAGCTGGTGTGCTTGGACTGAAGTCCCACACTGCAGAAGATGTAGCTTCGTGGCCTGTCACCGTATCATCTGGCTCTTTAGCCCTCATTCCCACGGGTAGAGAGGCAATCCAGACTCTGGAATCTCTTACCATGGGGACTGCAGCAGTTAAGTTTTTCCAGTTCGGATCCCAAATCCTCCTCCTGCTCTCCTTTCCAAAGTGGACTAGTTCTCAGAGATCAGGCTACCACTAGGTGTGGGGGAGGGGGGGAGACTCCTTCCTGAATCTATGCTGGCCTCTCTGGTCCTCAAACTGCACTGGTTCCTGCAGCTTTCCTGTGGTCCCACCCTATGTGCCGTTCTGCCTTGGACTCTGTCAATGGAGTCATTTCCCTGTGTCTTTGTCTTCCCAACCTCCAGCTTACCTCAAACCACTCTCCCTCAGCACTTCCGATTTCCCACGAGTGTGGTGAACGCTTGACTAACCTGGATGCTGGGGGGATGTGGATGACACTTGTTGGGGGAATCGCCCAGGTACCCCTATGGCCCAGACCACGCCTGTCATCACCTCTCCTTTAAAGCATTTTCCGTTTTCTTAAGCTCAGATCTATGAAAAGGAGACAATTCCCTTCCCATCTGAACCACTTCCAGTACTTTCTCTAGGTGTTCGAACCACTGAGCCGCCTACTCCTGTGCCCCTCACCCGTGCCCTCCACATGCCCAGACTCAAGCCAGGAAGGGAGAAAGCATGAGTTCCTTACCTCCTCTGCTTCTCCTTCCGGAACTATAAAGGCTTCCATTTTCTATTTGACAGCCTTGCTATCAAACTCTTCCCCTTTCTGTCTTTCCTTCTATTATTCCATCTTCTCATCCTTGTGGGAAAAGGGGTGTTGGCAAAAGGGAAATGTTACCTCAAATGTCCTGCCATACTAGTTAGGGTGTATCCCTAGGAGAAGCATCTCTTCTATGTGAGTTTATATAAAGCATGGTGCAGCCACAGGACATTTGGGGCGGCAAATACAAGAATAAAAGAAATGACCTCACCCCAAAGAAAACTGCCCACTCTTCTGTGAAGAGCGTGTGCCGGCAGAGTGCATAGTATCATCCTGACCCAACCCATGGGACAGCAGAGAAGCAGGTCGTCTCGGGGGCCGGGAGAGAAGCTGTTTTGTTGCTAGGGGGTGTTCTGCAGTCTGGTGGTGCACCTCAGCTACCCCTTGAATAAGAGTCCTGCAGAGCCCCTCCTGGCCTCTTCTACACTCTGACACTAAACCAGACCCATGTGGTTGTGTCTCAGTTGGTAGAGTGCCTACTTACCATGCACAAAGCCTCAGGTTCAATACAGAACTATATAAAATGGTAAGGTGGCACGCGTGTAATCCCAGCATTGAGGAGGCAGGGGGTGAGCAATCCTGCTCATCATCGGCTCTAGTGAGTTTGTGTCCAACCTAAAATGCCTAAAATCCTGTCTCTAAAGAGAAAAGGGGAAAGACTTTGTATAGGACACAAGTTTGGACATGAACAGCTGCTGAGGTCACCCCAGCGTTTGACTCAGTGGCCTCCACTTTCTCCACATCCCTCTTGGGTGTGCAAGAGGAGCTCGATGGTGGATCTTTTCCAGGATTTGGGGGCTTGGGGACCTGGTATTCTGAGGTTCTGGGATCAGTCACACTGGCCACCCCCTTTTGCCACAGGATGGAACGGCGCCACTGTGGATCGCGTCCCAGATGGGCCACAGCGAGGTGGTCCGGGTGATGCTGCTGAGGGGAGCTGACCGGGACTCCGCACGCAACGTGAGTAGACAGCCCCCGCCTCCGACTGGGCCTCCAACCTTGCCAACTGAGTGGGAACTTCGCAGGGGTGGTCTGCCTCTCCCTATGGGCCCCGTGACCTCAGGCATGAGGGCAGCATGCAGGATCCATCTGCAAACCCCTGTTGAAGCCCCTGCTCTTCATCCCTCAAGCACCTGCCCTTCACACTTGGCTCCTGAGGGTGTCGCTGAATCCTGCCTGCTGTGCCAGGCTGAAGGCCCACAGGAAGGAAGATAATCTGGGGAGATTCTACGGCTCTAGGTTAGGAGCCTTGTGTATTCGTACTGTCTACGGCGCTGCACCTTCGCCTGTGCTGCCCAAGGCTGTCTATCAAGCCTCAGCTCAGAAAAGGGAAATCTGAGGGCGCTGATCCAGCCCTCACCCTGCTCCCCACCACCACCACCCGACCCTCCCACCACCCCAAAGCCTTCCTGTCACCTCTGAGATGAAAAAAGGAAAATCCCCATCACCCCCTCCTCCTTCCTGTTCCAGATGAGCTCTCCCGGAAGACAGCTCAGAAGCAGGTCTCCTGGCACAGCCATTGATACTTACAGCAGGAAGTCTCTTTTGAGCCAAAAGTTATCACTAAAGATGGATTTTTTTTTTAATTTGCCTATGCATTTTTTAAAGATTAATACATTTTTGACCTATTCCTCTTGCATTAACACCACCATGCATAGGCAGATAAACACACAGGGCGGGTAAAGTCAAGACAGCACATATTTCTAAGGCATTAAATGCAGTTCAACAGTAGCATAAATCCTTACACTTAAGCAGTCTTCCCTGAGTCATGAACAGCAGAGAAGGCCTCTCGGGTCCATCAATAACCTTAAAAATGTGGTCCTGGAATGCCTTTGTCCCTGACGCAGTGATCTTGGGGACCAGAGGAGCATCTAACCTGTCAAACAGCAGCTCCTAAGGCAGCACCAACTGTCATCTCCTGTGGACGGTAGCCTCACGCAGAATGCTGCCCGATGTGCTGCCCTAGACGTTGCTGACTTGACATTTAGTTCTCAGCCAACAAAAATGTATGTTAGTAGTAACCCCCACATTCCCCTTGACCTTCAGGACGGTACGACAGCGTTGCTGAAGGCAGCTAACAAAGGGTATAATGACGTCATAGAGGAGTTGCTCAAATTCTCACCTACTCTCGGTATCTTGAAGGTAAGACCTAAAAAGAAATGATGCTATTCTGGAGTGGGGGGGGGGGGGAGGAGGCGTTAAACAAGAAATACTGGAGACTGAGATACAACTGGTTTGTCGTTAGGTGGGGCTCCCTGGGTCCAGGTGGAAACAGAGATGTGGTAATTAGAACAGCCTCCTAATACCGATCTTCCAGGGGGAAAATAGTATAACTGACACTAAAAACAGGAAAGTCAGCTATTGCTGTCTCTGGAAGATTTGTGAAATCAGAAGGGGACCCACACCCCTCCCTTCATCACCCTCAGTAAAGACCTACCCTGCTTTTTAGTTTAAGTACAAAGTTAGCCTCAAACATCTGGGAGCCTCAGAAGATGGGTCTTTCTGGAGACCAGAAGTGCTCTGTTAAGTTGGGACCATTTTGGATGGAAGTATCTCTCTGCGGTAGTGTATACAGCCCAGAGCCAACACCCTGCCCCTGTGCACCACGAGGTCGGTTTGGGCTTTGGGAACGTCACTTCCTGCTGCAGCTTCTCAGTTCTGCCATCTCAAGGTGGGCAGAGAAAGTAAGAGCCACATGAGGGTGGCGCCACCAAGTTTTCTTGTATGGGTGACCACTGAAGAAATCTTCTACTTGGGTATGTTACAAACTATCCTCAGCTTTCAGGGCATGTGAGAAAAGAGGCAGAGGGATGGCAGAGCCCGCAAGCAGCAGTGTGTTGACTGGAAGCATTTTATTTTGTTAAATAAAGGGCACTCGGTCTCCCCTAAGTCGACAGTGCGGCTTAGCAGGTTTGAGGCTGCGCCCTCAGGGTACACCCAGACAAACAAGCGCTTCGCCCTGGGACGGCTCCACAAACGCACGGTGTCCACGCTGGGAACAGTGTCTGCCCTTCACAGTTTCAGCACGCTGACATCTGATACAGAATTGCCAGGTTCAGTGCATCAGCCCCGACCCCTTCTCCCAAGGAGCCACTTCCCGCCCTCCAGGAACTCGGGAATCAGAAAGCAGCACCTTGTGTAGTCATTTGGAAACAGAATTTATCTATGAAAGTGGAGCTGAACAAAAGAAACTTTAAAATGGACTTGGCAGTATCTACTCTTGCTTCATACACGATGCATACTGGCCAACATTTAGACCTTTGTGCTAGTACCAGCTTAGGGAGTTGGCATCAGAGTATGAAAAGTGCTACTCTGCTAGAATTTTTTTCTAGTGTGATTTTTTTTTTTTTTTTACTTCTACAAATCATGGTATGAGTTATGAGTCATCAAGTAGGAAACCTAGCTTGCACTGTAGTGCTGTTTATAGATATCTGTGCCTGCTGGAGCCAGTGTCCCTCCCCTGCCCTTGTAGTAGATGGCTATGTATCTAGCCCTGGACTACCTTTAGCTGTGTGTCTGAGGACACTGTGGCAGGTACTGGTGGGACTTTAAGAGATAGATGCAAAGGAAGACAGGGAGGAGTAACGCTGTGACGCTCCCATCTCATCACTCAGACAGTGAAAGCTCAGCTCTTGACACACACTCTCGTTTCCTCTCAGAACGGGACTTCGGCTCTCCATGCAGCAGTGCTCAGCGGGAATATTAAAACAGTCGCGCTGCTCCTGGAAGCAGGGGCGGATCCAGCCTTGAGAAACAAGGTACCCACTCAGCCTATCCTTTAACTCCACTGGGCCCCTGCGCAGAGACCACCTCTTCCTAAAGGCGAGCATCCTGAGGCTTCTGCCTAGATTTTCCTAGTTCTACCCAGTAAGGGCACACAGGATCGCAGTTAATCGTTATTCCCAGACAATGCATTTAGACCCAGGGACTTGTGCTACAATATCCTATATTCCTGGCTTTCTGTAACCATTTGCTCATGTGAAACTGGGGGTGAGAATATAGTTCTGTTGGCAGAGGGCTTACCTAGCATGCAGACCCCACAATGCGACATAAAAGGGGGAGTGCATGGCTCCAATGCCAGAATTCGGGGATCAGAAGCTTACAATGTGTGGCTTCCTGGTGGGGAGATGGAGGTCGTCATTATGGGGAGTCAGTGTGTGCTCTAAAAATGTCAGTGTCCTGGAAGGGTATCGCTGCCCCGTGAGTGGGATGTTTGTGTCTTGAGAAGTACTAGTGTATGCTTGGTGTCTTGCTCGGGAAAATGTGTTATCAGTAGGATTGCACGTCACTGTTACAACACCAATCCGTATTTTTATTCTCCTAAATCCTCAGAGTTGGATGAAATTTGGAAGTCAGAATTTAGAATCACAGTTGAAACGTTTGTCATTGGTGTCTACTGACATTACCTGGTGTGCAGACTAGAAGTCAAAAGGAAATGTTAGTGCTAGTGTTGCTTTGATTGCTGTTACTGTGAGCCGGGCAAAGGGCAATATAGGGAAGGAAGGTTTATTTAAGCTTGCCATTCCAGGCCACAGTCCATCACAGCTCAGAAGTCAAGACAGCAGGACTTCAAAACATCAAGAGCATCACACCCGCAGTCAAGAACACAGAGCAAAGAATATGTTCATAGTCATGTTCAGCTCCCTTTCTCTATTCTTACACAGTCTAGGACCCTGAATGAAAATAAATACATAAAGGAAAGGAAAGGAAAGGAAAGGAAAGGAAAGGAAAAAGGAAAGGAAAGGAAAGGAAAGGAAAGGAAAAAGGAAAGGAAAAAGGAAAGGAAAAAGGAAAGGAAAAAGGAAAGGAAAGGAAAAAGGAAAAAGGAAAGGAAAGGAAAGGACATGACATAACTGCTCCTAGGCCTGGTGGAGGGGGAAGTTTGTTACAGGCATGAAGGAGCACATAGCCAGGGGCAGACACATTTGTCAATCCTGAGTGGTCATAACTCTGAACCATGTGGGGGGAGGGGAAGGGAAAGAGGGGAATCAAGTCCAGCAGCCAGGAGGCCAAAAGTACAAAAGGAGCAAAAGAGAGGCAGTGAGAGAGGTAATCAAAATGTCAGGAATATGTAGGGAAGAGCCTCTGGAGGAAGGGCAGCCCAGGTCACGGGCTGGAAAGTTCAGGATAGAAGATAGCCATACCTGTAACACATAAGGACTGAGGGATGCTGGGAGAACTTGGAGGCCTGGTCCATTTTGACATGTAAATAGGCACCTCAGCCACTTTGCCTGGGTTTGAAACTTGACAGACCCAGCCTAGGGAATGGAAATGCCCTCAGTGGGATGAGAGTTCCCCCCTCAGTTAAAGAGACGTCTGTAACAGGCATGCCCACAGACCAGCCTGATTTAGCGATCTTTCACTGACACTCTCTTCATAGGCGATTCCAAGTGTGTGAGGGTGACTATTAGAACTCACCATGGAAGCTGGAAAGGTGACATAGTTGCTAAGAGCACTGGCTGCACAACAGTCAGAACGGAGTTTGGATCTCAAAACCACGTAACAAGCTTGCCACATGCAGCGCTCACCTGTGACTGCAGCACTGACCTGGAGACAGAGGCAGGAGGTTGCTGGGGTTTGGTGGCTGCCACCCGAGCTGAAAATCAAAGGTCTCAGTGTCAGGCAAGGAGAGACAATGCCTTGAGGGAATGAGGCAGAAAGTGATAAAGGAGGACAGCTGACTCCCTCCTCCAACCTCCATGTAAATAATAATGCTTGTCTCAGCACACAGCACACAGCACACACATACGAAACTCATTGAGAAAGGCCAAAGAGATCATCTGCAAGGCCAAGGCTCCCATTTTCATTTTATCTAGCATACAGAAGTACTATTTCCCCATTCCTGGGGAAATGAAGTGCTTGCAGAAAGCCTTTCTGTTATCATTTCTGCCTATCTCTCCCCAGATACCTAGGTTTATTTTCCATTCGCTGGCCCGGCTGGGTGATAAGCCAGCTGAAGTCACAAGTGCCCTTCTTTTGAATCTTATCTCTAGACCTGTACACGGAACTCTTAAAGAAATCAAACATTGGTGGTGAGCCACCCAGGACCGAGGGAAGACTGGGAACACCGTAACAAAGAAACTGAGATTTTAAAAAGTGCAATCCGACTGTGTCCCCTTAGTGGACTAGCCTCCGTGGAATGGTCCTGGGTAATTGCCAGTGGACAGAAGGCTAAGCTTTCAGCCTCCCTAGAGGACTTGAACTTACGTGTGGAGGCGCATAGTCACTGCCAGGAGCCCCTCCTCTGCCGACCAAACACCCAAGAGAAGCCTGCCTCTCTAATTGCAGCCCCAGAAGCAAGGCAGCTGGATTCTAACCGCATCTCAGAACTCTTGGAAGAGATTTGGGTTGGATGGGTTTGGGGTTTTTTTTGTTGGTTGGTTGGTTGCGGTTGTTTTTTTTTTTTTTTAGGGGGTGAGTAGGGGGGGTCTTTTATATCTGGGGAGGGGAGGGGAGGGGAGAGGAGGGGAAGAGAGGAGAGGGAAAAGGTGTTGTTTGACCTGGAGAGACCTGCTCACTCCCAGATAAGGAACTGAAAACAGATCAAAGTAATGGCGCCACCAAAGTCCAACTTAACGAGCCACAGAGTCCGTTGAGTTTGTGTCCAGGAGTATAGGTGAGGGACTGCTCACAGGAGCAAGGAGAACTCTAAGGCAGCTGTGTTAACAAAGCCCACACCAGCGTGAGTGACGGCTCGTGAAAGGCAGAGCCCTGGAGCTCTCTGCTTGACAACTTGCAAGCAGCTCTACAGTTTGGAGAGCTCTCCTCGTCAACAGACCTTGTGTTTATATAGCCTTAATGGGGAGAGACACCTTGGTCTTATAAGTTTCAGGGACTTACTGGAGTGAATTGTTTACTTCCCACATTTTCGGAGCTTCCTTTTATACATTCTTGAGTCTTAGTGAGCTTTCTTTCAGTTTGGGAACCGCTACACAACAGGGAGAAGGGGGTGGGGGGACAGAGAGCAAAGAGAGGTGAAAAAATGAGGCTAAGAAAAGAAGAAAAGGAACTGCCTCCTGGCAAGCGTTGGTGCCTTATCAAAGAAAGCTGTCCGCAGTGACACGTGTGGGTACTAGGCTTCCTCTTCCATTTTCCAACTATCTGCCCCTGTGCAGCTGCCTTTTCATCACATGCTGCAGCGAAGACATCACCATAGCCTGCGTGGAGAGGCACAGAAAAATCCAGCTGTCCTCTCTTAAGCTCCGCACTCAAAACAATATGTAAGCAATTCTACAGTCCTAAGATTCTTGTTTTTGAAAATACAGTTGTTTCTTCAAAAATATATTTTGCACACCAACCTGTTTTGGATTTATTATTTTTCTCTTTTTTCTTTTGTTTTTGTTTTGTTTTGTTTTTTTTTTTTTGAGACATGGTTTCTCTGTGTAGCCTTAGCTGTCCTGGACTCACTTTGTAGACCAAAGTTCGAGACTGGCCTTGAACTCACAGAGATCTGCCAGCCTCTGCCTCCCAAGTGCTGGGTTTACAGGCATGTGCCACCATATCCAGCAGATTTATTCTTTTTCACTAACTAGGAAATATATTTTTTCCAATTTCATTTCTACGTTAAAAAGCTATTAGAGTTCTCCATAATATTAAGAGTCCTGAAATCATGGAAGTTCAAGAATTATTTTCCTGGTAACACACAATGCCTGTGGGGGAAACTGCCTCCCTGAATGCTTAATGATGTGTCCCAGCGGGTGGCACAGCAGTCAGCAGGGGGTGACTTGCAGGGTCCTGCAGGAGGTTGTAGCCACAGAGACTGGGCCTTCTGGGTGTGTGTCACGCCCTGCGTACTTCCTGACTTCCACTTTTTCCCAACACACCCCTCCGTCCATATAAAAGCTAGAAAGTTGATTTCATGAAGGCAGAGAGTAAAGAGCACGGGCTAGGCGGAGCTCAGAGCAGGGAGGAGGGTGATAGTGGAGTCAGGCCAGAATACAGATACCAAAACACGGTCACCTGGAAGGAAGAAATTGTAGTCACACAACAGGTGATCTAGTTTACAACAATTTGTTGTGTATTTTTATAAAGAACTGAAAGTTGTTCAAAGTTTCCCTAACCAAGTTACGATGACTACTTAAGAAAGTGGAAATGCCGACCATCCTAACTCAGTCATCACATCTCATATCACTGTATCAATCACCCCACAAATATGTACAAATGAAAATAGTAAATGAGGGGCCAGCAAGATGGCTCGGTGGGATGTGGGTGGAAAAAAAGGTCCCTGTCTTGAATCCTCCCTACTGGACAATAATAAACTCAAAGAATAAACTAAACATAAAAGATCAAACACTTGTATTTATTGAACAAGTATTAGATGTGCTGGACATTGTTTGAAAAACGATGATGCAATGATTTGTAAGACATAGCCGTGCCCCCCAGGAACCTTTAGCATAGTAAAGATCTGGCTAAATATAAAGTTCACGTTGAGGTGAGAAAAATAGCAGGTGCCCCTTCTACATTGAAAGGAGATCCCAGGTGCCTGCTGCAAATCAGTGAGTCCAGAGAAGCTTTTTCAGTGGTGGAGGACAGAGCTGGGGGTCACCTGCCCCCTTTGTGTCTCTAGAAGCATTCCAGCGAGGGGACTCACTAATGCCGGTCTCATCTTCTTTCAGGCCAATGAGCTTCCGGCAGAACTAACCAAAAATGAGCGCATACTGCACCTCCTGAGAAGGAAAGAAGAACCTGGGAAGAATGAACTCGGTTCCATCCTAGACAGATAGAAGGTTAAGTCGCATTGTCCAGAAAGAAATGGCTTTTAGCAATGTCGGGAATTCTCTGAAGCCCTGCGGATTTGCACATTGCGCACTAAATCAAGGAAGGGCTCAGATCCGCTTCCCTTTATTTACGGTGGGCATCATACACTGCCCTGGAGCTTGGCCCTCAGGGACACGGACAGCCACAGATTCCACAAAAACTTATCTGCCACTGTGCTAACCTGAGTCCCTCCATTCAACTTGATGCTGGACCTGGTTTTAGTCCTAAAAAGGGAAACAAAAAGCCACATCCTTTGAAAGTCAAAGGTTGCCCTTCAATTAATTGATGCACTTTTTTTTGCTTTTGTGTTAAATATAACTATGCGAAAATCCATTGCATCCATCATAGTCACACAGGTCCCTTCCGTGTAAAATCTTTTCTACCACCCAAAGATCATAGCCATGATTACCATGAACCAACGATACACAAGCGCTCGTTATTTAAGATCCACTTCTGATATTCCACTATGTGCTACTCAAAGGTGGGCCGTTAACACACAGGAGAGGCAAGCTGTGTATTTGTTGGTAAAGCTCATCTTATTCCTGACATTCGAAGTCCACATTGTATCCTCTGTGGAATGTGGAGCCTCCCGCAGCTCGGTCTCTGACACACTGACTTCGAGCTCACTGGATGAAACATGACGTTCACACGTACTGCTCCTGTTACTATTCCTGCAGAGGAGTCTCCCTAGTAAAAGGCAGTTGTTAGTATTTACCGGGTGCTCGTTTATGCATGCTCTGGGTGAACAGGTTCCAGGAAAGAACCCCCAAGGTCATCAAACTATTTCTTGGAGGGGGATAAAGTTGGTGTTCAGTGCACTCTCAATGGTGCGTAACCGCCTCTGGCAGTGCCTAACTGCCCATACAGAAACCAAGCATTCCTGAACAATACACCAGACAAAACACTAGCAGTACTTCTCATGTCTGAACACACATCCACTGTTTCTGCTCGTGTACTGCTCCAGTCTCCAACAAGCAGGCTCTACGTGAAGTCACGTTAAGATGGAGCGGAAAGCAATCCCAAATTAAGGTTTGCTTAACTAACAAGCAATGGGACCAGAAGCATTATCTTTAAGTCAGTGACATCAGAAGCTAGCGTCTTAAAATTGTTTATGACACATGCAATCAGAATGAGCAGATTTTGATAAACCTTGCAAGCAAAGCCAGTGACAGACAGCGCCCGGCTCTCTGAGAAGCATATAGCCTGACCGACTCCGCAGAAATCCCCAGTAAAATTTCAAGATAAAAGATTAGAAAGCTGTGTGTTGCCAGAGCACCAGACGCAAATATTTTGGTAGCTAAAGATCAGTGCCAATTTCCCATTGGCAGCCTTTTATTCAGCAAAGTTATACAAATACACATTTCATCCATGAAAATTTTGCAATGCTGTATTCGCCTTGAAGAAGAAAATAACGTGGACTTAACTGTCTTGCGTTCCCCACTTACTCAGCCCCATATGAGAACCAGCTATTCATCACGAGCCCAAAACAGAACAGTTTTGTAGGTACCAACAATAAAATGCCAAAAGACTGTATCAGGAACTTCACAGCTTTTTCACTAAAATCTGTTGGTATTGGCCTGTCCCTCACATAAACTATTTCAGGGCCATGGAGTTAATTCAGTATCTTTAGCAATACTTAATAAAGACCTTTGTACTGTAGGGAACAGGTAGCTGAAATAGCATCTGCTCTAGATGCAATTATCGTGTTGTCCATGGCAGGGAACGTAGTTAAGAGCCTACCAAAGACTGAAGAAGAGGTCTGCTTTTTCAGAAACCATGTTTCCGTTCGCACACCTGGAAAAGACTCTTACTTTACGTTAGTCTCGTCAACAGTCCAGTTCCTCATCCAAAGACTTAATCGTTTGCAGTTCCTCCGCAAATAATCTGTTCAGCCCAACTTCAAAAGGTTGCCACTACGTCCATTTGTTTACCAGCACATTCCATGTTGTATTTCAAATAAAGTTAATCCACTTCCCAATTTGCCTTTGTTTCTCTCTCTCTCTCTCTCTCTTTTTAAGAAAAAGTCGGGTGTTATTTCTGTGGCTTTTAAAGCCTCTCTTTACATTTATTGTTTGTGGACATGGCAGAGCCCTTGGCAGTTAGAAAACAATGTGCAGGGGGAGGCTTTCCTTCCACTGTAGGTCCTGGGAATCAAACTCGGGTCCTCAGGCCTGGCAGAAGGCTCACACAACGTGGCCACATTGGGAAGAACACATAAAGAGGCCCTGTGACACCCCTCCCCCCAAGTACATTGTTACATATTGCGTGATTGTTGTACCCCTGAGCCTGTATGTGCACCGCATGCATGCCAGCTCTACGCAGGGACCAGAAGAGGTTGCTGGGTCTCCCGGAACGGGAGTTACCCGTGCGGCTGCTGGGAACTGAACCAGGCTTCTCCGCAGGAGCAGCAGTGCTGTTAACCGCAAGCAATCTCTCCAGCCACCGGTTCTTCAAGAGCACTTTTAAAGCTCCCTACTGAAGCAAGCTGAATTTCAGAGACATCTCATTTAAAACCCATAGCTACAACACACGACTTCAGTGTCAGAAAGTAAGACTCTCAGAAATGGGGCATTGCTACTCAGAGAGCAAAATCTTACCTACCCTGTTAAGGATACTGGAGTCTGGTTACACCAGCCGTGGGCTGTGGTGTGACTTCCACTCAGACAGGACACTTCCCAGTGGCAGCAGCTCAAACGTTAGTATTTAGATTTGCAAACTGTCACTGCTTTCTCTACAGGGTTTCACGACTCACATAACACATTTTCCTTCAGCTGGACAAGAAGCAAAAGGACAAATTTAGACACCTGGGACTGTGCTTAGTCTGTGTTGTGAGCTCATGTGCACACGTGTGAGCACATGAACACCTTTTAACAAATGCACTTGACATGATTGTAGCATTCATGGTTTATCTGATGGGCAATCAAGTTGGTAACACATTAGAGGATGCAGGACCTGATTATGATAACCAGTAGAAATAATACTAGAGGCCAGTGACGGGGGAACCATCTTAGCCATAACTGGCCAGTCCAACTTTGAGATATTTTTGTCTGTTTCTTTATGTAGATCATCAGTTTGGTTGTCAATGTGTATGAGAGAAATCAGAGATTAGAGCAGCACACCCAGGAAGCTGCTGGCAGCCTCTAAGGTTATGCTTAAGCAACAGCTAGTCTATCGTAACTCTATTTTGAAGAACCATTGTTCTTAGCTCTCCCATTTCCTGATTAGTTTTTGCTAATATTTTGCTGTGATATTAGCAGTTTTTAAATTAAACAGGCTATTTTAGAAACCTCTCTTTATAGTCCAACAGCAACTCCTGCAGCAGGTAACAGAGAGGCCAGGGCGGCAGCTACTGCAATGAGGCGTAATAGATGTGAGGAATCGCTGCAATTCTCAGGAAGCGCGCGTGTAACTCTGTTAACTGACTGTAAAGACTTCCTGATTAAAACAGTGCAACATGTCTTATCCCACACGCACCCTGTCACCCTGCAGGGATTGCAGAGCGCTATTTTCTCAGAAAAAAAAAAAAAAAAAAAAGTCCAATTGCTTACTAAAGGGAAGGGTGTGATGAGAAGTGGGAGGAGCATTATTAGTGCAATGGAAACTCGGTGACAGAAAAAGTTAGACTCAATGAGACTCAATTAGGAGTGAGGGTTAGTGCTGACAGGAGGGTTCTGCAGGGGAGAAAGGGGCATCACAGCTATTGGTCATCAGGAAACTGCTGCAGGAGAGCGAGACAAAAGGAGGTGGAGTCCCAGAACAAAGATGGAGAAAGAGTTAGGAGGGCCATATGGGACCCCCTGGTGGCTGTGGGGGAGGGGGAAGCCAGGGGGAGGTAGGGAAGAACTAGGTGGTGGAGGAGGGTTGAAGTGGAGGAGGGGCAGGGTGAAGCTGTGGCGGTGGGGACTGCGGTGGTGAAGATAGTGGAGGGAGGGGGGATTCTTCTTCCTGTAAGTCCAGTTTTGAGAGGGTGCTCCTGGGTCTCCCCTACAGGCCCTCGGAGGAGCCACCTGCCAACAATCAGGGCCACCTAGCCCGTTGCAGACCGGACAAACCTTCATCTAGAGGGGTGGGCTGGAAGTTGCTTCAGCCTCAGGGAAGATGGATCCAATCTGGACCTACAGAGGGTGACATTCATCACTGTCCAAGCTAGCTGAGAATCAAAAGTGTCCTCAGAGGGTCAGTCAACCCCAAATGAGAGCCATCAGTTTCACAGAAAATTTGGCGGTGACTCCTGGCGATAGGACAATCATAGCCGTCCTTGGCTGGTCAAAACGCTTTAGAACAGCCTAGAGGGCTGTTAGGCTTGTTATTCTCACTACCCATATTGTCCGTTCGTTCAGTCACTCCAAGTCCACGATAAACCAGTTAACACAGAACGTACAAAGTACAAGAGATGAAGATAATAAAAATGAAACCAAGTACAACACAGATAAGACACAAAACCAGACCAAGAACCTTGGCGGGCAGGGTAACATCTTGCTCTTTGCCTAGGACAGGGGAGTATTGAATCTAGTCAGACCCCTCCTCGTCCCAGATTGGGATCCCAGCAGAACCAGGTGTCACAGAAAACTACTATGACTTACCAGGGGAGGCCTTCTCAGCACAGCAGTTCACTCTGATAGTCCACGAAACGCTGCGGGCCACCTCCTGAGGTGGCCTTTCAGCCCCAGTCCTGCGGTGAAGATCTGGCTTTAGAGTGTGGATGGTGGTCTGATTTCGCTGGGGCTTCCAGAGAAATGTTAATCCCACCAGCAAGAATAAGACCACTGCCACTGTGTTTGAGCCAAATTTGAAGCCTTTTAAGTTCAGTTAGAGGGATAGTCCTGGGCCTGTTTCTTAGAACCTTTTTAGGGAGTAAAGTCATGAATAGATGCAAAGCAAGTTTACAGAAGCAAGACAATAGGAGCAGTTAGGAAGTAGATAAAAACCTCAAAGAGGAAAAAAAGAAAGAAAGAAAGAAAGAAAGAAAGAAAGAAAGAAAGAAAGAAAGAAAGAAAGAAAGAAAGAAAGAAACCCAACAGTCATCATCATCACTGATTAGGGAGGTGCAATGTGTTCTTAAGAAAAAGAAAAGAAAGAAAGAAAAAATGGTCATCAGTTGGGACAGGTCATGCTCCAGCAGACAAAAACTTAAGAACAGAAACTCAGCTCTTACAGTAAATAGGAACTTATTTTTAACAATACAACAAAATGGTTCCTGCCTTCTTAATGGAGGCAGGCAGGTTCTGGACTACACTGGCTGGCCAGCAAGCTGCAGAGACTCTCCTGTCTCCATCAGCCCAGGGCTAAGGTTACAAGTGGGCACAAGTACACCTAGCATTTTTATTTGTGTTCTGGGGCTCAAACCAAGGTCCTCACACTTGTCAGGCAAATGCTTTACTGGCTGAACCATCATCCCTTCACCCCATGCAATAATAGGTGACTGATGTAGGTCTGTGATGATGGTGGGCGTATGAGGCACACACTGGCAAGCAATAGAGTCTATCCTGGGGACCACCTCTGTGGCATTTTGACATTGAACTTGCCAGCCTCCACAATTGTAAGAAATGTTCATGCTGTTGAACTCACCCAGTCTGCGCTGTTTTGTCACGGCACACAAAAGGTAAAAGGAAATCAGCAAAGGTAAGTGGTGCTGAGTCCATTAGCAATGGCCCTAGGTATCGTGAGATGAACTGGTTACAGCCTGCTACCACAAAGGCCCAACTCTCCTCACTTTCAGTGGCTGAACTTCAGGTTCCAAGGTAGGAAGCTGGCAAGCTTTCCATCTGTGCGAGTAATCAGGAATACTTGATTTTCTTAATTCACTTGACTTTATTATACTTAGGACTTTCCAAATCAGCTGGGTACTTGAGGCTGGAGGGAGAAGGGAGCCTTTTTTTAGGGGGGAAACCACAGTTATTTGACTGTAATAAGATTTTATTATTGTTAGGCAGAACATACTGGCACACACCTTTAATCATAGCACTCAGGAGTCAGAGACAGACTAATCTGTGAGTTTGAGGCCAGCCTGGTCTATGCAGTGAGTTCCAGGACAGCCATGGCTACAGGGTGAGATCCTGACTTAAAAACAACAATAGAAGATTTTATTACTGTGAATATATTGCTCAAGTTCTACTTCTGATCTTAGACAAATGTGTAGCCCAGGAGATGGAAGCTTCATGGGGAATACGGTTTACCAAGGACAGTATGATCAACTGTGTTAAATGCTGCTAGGAAGTCTAGTGAGAAGAGGACAAAAGGGTACTGTACAACAAACAATAATGGCCTTTAGAAGAGCAGGGAACTATGGGATTTCCTTAGCTTGAGAGTAAGGAGAGAAGCTGAATCTTTGTGCGTATGTGTGTCTGTGTTAGTGTGTGTGTTTATCAGCAACCATGTCATAGGGTATGTATGCAAAGTGCTTGCGTAGCAAGCATGAAGGCATGAGTCAGGTCCGAGAACCAATGTAAGAGAGTCAGATATGATGGTGCATACGCGTAATCCAGTACTAGGAAGGGGAAGACAGGTGGCCAGCCTGCCTAGCCTAATTAGTGAGCTCCAGGCCTGTGAGAACCTGTGAGACAAGGTGGGGGCTGGAGAGATTAATTTGAGGTTGAGAGCACTTGCTGCTCTCACAGAGGGTTGAAGTTCAGCTTTTAGCACCTATTTTGGGCCGTTCATAACCACCTGTGTCTCCAGCTACAGGGGATCTGATACTTTCTTCTGGCATCTATAGGAACCTGTATGCAAGTGCACCATAACCTTACGCAGACTTATAAACATGCATTTTAAAAATAAATATTAAAAGGAGAGAGAATCACTGGAGAGCTGTCTTGGGGGCTAAGAGCCCTGGCTACTCTTCCAGAGGATGTGGGTTTGGTTCCCAGAACCCACATGGTAGCTTATTACAAATGTCTATATAACTCCAGCTCTAGAGGATCCAACAGCTTCTTCTGGCCTTCATATGCACCAGGCACTCACACGGGGCACAAACATACAGACAGACAAAGCACCCGTACACAGAAAATAAAATTTAATACATCTTATGCAGAGAAATTTTAACCCAGCAATGTGGCTGCTCTGGCAAGGGATCACAAGCAAAGATTCAGGTCTGTGTGATCTGGCTGGAATAGAGACACGCCCTTAGTATACACCTTTAATCCCTCTGAATGGAATCAAGTACACACTTTTAATCCCAAACAAGGCATCCACCTGAGGGACGGACAAAGTGATGAATCAGAGAAAGATTTGACAGAATGAGTCAGACGGCACGCCCTACTCTCGGGAGGTCAGGCAGGAAAGAGAAGCTGCTTAAGAGCAGTGGAGAGAGAGCGGGAGCGTTTGTGGAGACAGTAGAGTAAGGAAGTGCAGTTGAGTGCAGTTGAGTGCAGTTGAGTTTGTAAAGTGCAGAGGCAGTTTTCCCAAGCAGAGCAATTTAGTGAGTTGCGGCGGGAAGCCAGTTTGAATCAGTCAGTTTGGAGAGAAGTTTGAGCCAGAACAGCTGAGTTGAACCAGTCATCCAGAGTTCAGAAAGAACTAGAAAGGGTGAGCTTACTCAGCAGTAAGTCTCAGAGGCTGAAAACATTCTAGGCCTAGGTCAGCAGATGGTCTGGGCTTATAGAAGATAGGATTGTATGGAGGCTAGAAGTTTCCAGGCGTAGGCCTAGGGATAGTTAGATAGAAACACTCTGGGCTTAGCCCATATATGTTTCTATAAAGCTTGGGTAGGCTCTCATTTCATCTCCTCTTCTAAGGAAATAAAAACTACATTTATGCCTTTTTAAGACCCCACAAGGTGAACAGCACCTGAGGATTATCTCTAGTCTCTTGTGGTTTGAACAGGCATGGCCCCATAGACTCATGTGTTTAAATGCTTGGCCCGTAGGGAATGGCATTATTAGGAGGTGTGGCCTTGCTGGAGGCCTACCATGAGGAAGTGTGTCACTGTGGGGGTGGGCTTTGAGGTCTCCTATGCTCAAGCTACTGCTAGTATGGTACAGCCTCCATCTGCTACCTGAGAAGCAAGATGTAGAACTCTCAGCTCCTCCTCCAGCACCACCATGCTTCCTGCCATGACGGTAATAAACTAAACCTCTGAAACTGTAAGCCAGACCCAAGTTAAATGTTTTCCTTTAGAAGGGTTGCCATGGTCATGGTGTCTCTTCACAGCAGTGGAAGCCCTTACTAAGACATCTCCATATACACATATGCGCATGAGCACAAGCACGGGCACACACACATACACACACACACAACCACAAGCCCCACAAGCATTTACAAAACAATATGAAAAATAAACATATCTAATAAAAGTTTACAGAAAAGTCATTTACAAATAGATAAAGACAATTATTCCTATAATTAAAAAACAATTTAAATCATGTGGACACTTTTAAAAACAAGAAATAAAAATAAACTACATATTCTTTATTTCACCTATCAGAATATCAGTGTTGACAAACGAGCAGGGAATCATGAATTTCCATGTGTTGCTGACAAAGGGTTAGCCTGAAACCTCTTTGGAAGGCAATTTAATAACAATCAAATTTTAAATGTACATCTCTTTTGATCAAAAAAATATAAACTCCTTTGCAAGACATGTTGCTATATGCCTGTAATCCCAGCTATTAGAAGGCTGAGGCAGGAGGATTATAAATTTGAGGCATCCCAAACAACTTAGTGAAAGCCTGCTTCAAAATAAAATAAACAAAATGTAGCTCAGTGGTACAGAGCTTGCTTGATACATCCAAAGCTCTAGGCTCAATCTCCAGTACAGGGATTAAGTCCCATTTTCTTCAGAAGATTAAAAAAAGTTGAGTATTACATCACTTCCTACATCAAGTGCCAATTAGAACTCCAATGGGAAACTATTTAAATACTTATCTAGTGGATCAAAACTATTAACGTGAGCATTTCAAACATTCTCCTCTCATCTGTCAACTAAACAGAATTTTGTCTTAGATCAACTTACGCATATATACAAATGAGAGTGATCATGGCCCAGGACACAGGTTCTGATTGCCCCAAATACCATGTGCCAATGTGGTACCAATTTCATGAAGTTTTAATAGTAACAGGACAAAAAAATAATAATAAAGTTACATTTTGAAGATGTTGGTGAAGTATCTGATAGAAAAATTATTACAGCAAAGCCGGGTAGCTCTGTTATAGGCCTCAGATGTTATCTCTTGGTATTTCTAGCCTTTGGGTTGGTAGAAGATAGGGCTCCCATTATACATTTCAAAAGGATTTACCTAATATAGTCACAAGGATATTGGGTCAAACACAGAAGTGGATAGTACATGGTTAGGGAGCCTGAAATAATTTGACTCTGGACCTGCCACGTTCTAGCTCTCCATAAACACGAAATTTTTTTTATTTTAATTGTTTAATTCTTTGTGAATTTCACATCATGCGACCCAGTCCCACTCATCTCCCTATCCCCTCATATTTGCCCTTTGCCCTTGCAACCTCCTCCCCATAAAAATATACAAACAAACAAACAATAACAAAAAGCACGGAAAAACATTTCCTCATGGAAGCCGTAGTTTGTCATGGTGTATCCCACAGTGCCTCCCACTGCCCACACATCTTTCTTTGCAAATGTTCATTGCAATGAGTCATTGGTGTGGTTCGAGATCTCTGGCTTCCATGACACCATCAATACTGGATCCCACTGGGACTCCTCACAGTTGTTGCCCTGTGTCATCATTCTGGAGCTTTGGATCAGCAGGGCAGGTCCTTTCACGTGCCTCAACTATTCACAGATGATACAGACTTTGGGATGGGCCAACTCAGAGTCCTGGATTTGAGCCTGGGTGGTAGCTGGACTTGTCAGTGCACTGGCTCTCCCTTATCTGCACCAATTCCTGCAGCCTGTGAGGGGCTGGGCCAGCTCTCCCACTCGCCCTGTCAATAAGGGGCAGGAATAGGCCTCCTGCTCTCCTGCCCTTGGGGCGAGCTTCTCCAGAAAACACAAAAGTTTCAATCGCAAAATGGGCTTCTTTTGGGAACTTCTGGTTGTTCGTGCCTTTCTCTCTTCATATGGAAAATGATCAATAGTTTTCAGACTTTTGTGATGCAGTACCAAGAGACAACAGAGTACAGGATGAGTACTTTGTGGAATCTGGGCAAGTTCGCAACGTAAGGATGTCTAAGGAAGGAAAAGTGGTGGTGACACTTTCAACCATGTTAAAATATTTTTCACAAAGAGAATAAACTTGTAAAGGAAAATACAGCGTAGTGTAATATAGATTGTCCGTCATGATGGAATTATAAGTAAATTTTTTTAAATTTAAGTGATCTGTGGAGAGCTGCTTGTTTGGCAAGCTGCTTTGTTATTGAGTATTCAGCGAAAAACATGTTTTCACCCTGACCTTTACCTTGAGACAGAGATAAGCAGGCTGTTTTGCCAAGCTCCTTTAGTTTGTTTGTGGGACCTTGGACCATATCTGCTCTACAGAGTGGTGGTCTAAGAAAACAATTCTGACTGCTCCCTCCCCTGTATCGATGTGCCTTGTTCTGCTCTGCCTATGAAAAGGAGCTGTGGCGTAAACTCCGAGCCGCTACAGTGTTTGCTGACGGTCCTCTCCAGCTGGTCCCTGTGTCTTGCTTTCTTTAATCCTCACTCCCCACTCACGCACTGTTTGACTTTGCCACTCCCGCAGCGATCTTTTTTATTGTCTAGAAGTGCATTTTCTATTTCTACCGTAAGCATGGGTTCACGGCTAGACGCGCCTCGGCCGGTAGGTGGTGCGGTTTAGCGCTTTTTCAAACCCGGTCTGAGTTAGAAGTAAACAAATCCCGAGTCAGAAGCGCCACCGTGCTGCGCAGTCAGATGACAACAGGGTCATGCCACCGCTCGTCACTGGCCCGAGCTTGGCGAGAAGATGCTCCAGCACCGATCCCTTTTGGGTAACTAGGTTTGGGAAAGGATAATCAGAGTACTTATACATACAGAAACAGAGGTTGAAATATCACAGTGGTCCGAGGAACCTGTTCGTAATTAGGAAAATTGCCTCGAATTTTAACTACGTGTTAAAACCTTGCCCACCCTCTCCAACCCAGGCGGAAAAAAAAAAAAAAAAACAACGGAGGGGGGCAGTAAGTTAAAATATGAAAGACAGACTTGAGACGTGTTGGAATGAGTCCGGAATACCATCCCAGGATGGATTTTAAAAGTGCAGCTTCTCGGGTGTGAAAGATGCCCAGCACAGAGGGGCGGGCAAGGATGGCGCGACACAAAGGGGCCGGACTGATTCCCGGGGAGGGCATCTGCCCACGTGGCTTTGGCTCAGGGGTCCGAAGACCTGCTCTGCAAGACGGAAAGAGCCGGGCAGCAGGTCCGGTTGAGCGCGCTGGCAGTCTTGGCTGGGCCAGGGCTCCGCCCAGCTCTCGGCGCTAGGCCCCGCCCCGAGTGCTTAGCCCCGCCCTCTGGAGGTTCGAGCGGCAGCAGCCCCGACACCGCCTCCGTCCTTCCTGACTTGCGCGCGCAGCCCGCCGCCTGCGCCTGCCCCTTCTTTGGTCAGGCGCCGGTCCCGAAACCGCCCAGCCAGTGCCGTGGCGCTCCGGCCGCTGTGCACTGCGAGCGGGACGGGGTCTGCAGCCCCGCGCGGCGACAGCATGAGCGGGCGCCACCCGGGCCTCGGCCTGCTGCTGCTGCTGCTGCTGTGCCCTGCGCGGGTGAGTGGCTTCCAGGGACCCGGGCGGGCTGGGGCGGGACGCGGCGGCTCCGGAGACCCCCGGGCGCCGGAGCTGAGGGCCCGGGCGTGGGGAAGTTGGTCTGCGGGAACAGCCGCGGAGGTCGCCTTCTCCTCCCGCGTCTGTCCATCCTCTCGCTGTCCTGTGGTCTGGGACAGGGTGACAGCTGGGGCCTCTGTTTGGCTAGCTTTGAGCTCAGTCCAGCTGTTGTCACCTGATTTAGGATGTGGGACCCGGGGGGACAATGGGTACAGAGGATAGGGACTTTTCTTGTTTTTAGCCATTTTAACAAAACAAATTCTACAGACTCCTTAAGTTTACTTAGCTCCGACTGCATTGTTGCTCCGTGTCTCCAGACGAGGGAGGTAGAAGGAGAACAAAACTCAAGCACCAAATTGAAGCAGTCTTGAGTACTTTAAATGAACCAGCCTGATCTCCAGAGTGTTCTTGAGGATCACGTTCCTTTAAGCGTTTCAGAAAACCGAGGCCCACAAATACAGTATAGTTTAACTTCCCCTCCCCACAATTAACCAGGGACAGGAGGACACCTGGCGCAGTGTGCTTCTCCCTCAGCTGGCTTTTCCTTGCTGTGGCCAACTTGGGTATAGGTGTGTCACTACTGTTTGGGTGTCTGCAGTTTTCTCGTTGGAAACAGTGGGTGTGTGCGTAGGGATGCCTACGGAGGGGTACTAATTAAACCAGTTCAGAATGACTCAGTCAATGAAATTTCTGTGCCCTTTTGGCCGTAACTCCCCTCTAATGGACCTGTGGGTTATGACAAGGAGGTGAATCAGAAATGAGAGCAGATGAAGGGGTTACCTGGTGGAGGAAGCTTTCCCTTTGAACTTTAACTCTGTGCAGTGCTTGGAAGGACAGAGGGATGCTGACCTAGATGGCCCTGGGAGCCAGAGAGTACACATGCTGAACTAAAGAAGAAAAGCAGAAGAACGGGGTTGTTGTTTGGGTCCGGCAACCTTTGCCGTCTCTGTGGTTTTAGGTGTTTGACTCAGCCTTGATTGTTGTTTTTGTTTTTTGTTTTGTTTTGAGATGGCAAATACCTCATCGCTATTGAAATGGAAGTTGTTTATCATATGCCTACTGTAGAACCCTCGAGAAAAAGTCAGCAATCTCTTTTCCCTAGTGTTTTAGGTCAGGACCTCGTCAGCAGAGTTCACATCATAAAGTGGCTTAAACTTATCTCTGCTTTTCTTTCACCTCAAGGTTGATAAGCAGTGAGCTACCCTTCCAGAGTGTTTGAAGTAGTCCAGAAGTTGATTCTCTTGCAAAATGCCTGAAAGGCTTCCCAAAGTCCTTAGCTAGGAATGCTCCCATTGTTGTCGTAAAAATTCGCTCCTGCTGTCCAGAGGCTCCCAGGGCAGCTGAACAGCAGGGTGGAGTAACTGGTTCTTTGACTCTCACTGGTCTGTGGCTGATCAGGTTTCAGTCTGAGCATCAGTCAGGTTGTTGGGAGATTAGAAGCAGCGTTCCTTTGGAAGATCTAAGATGTATTTGGAGAGATTTTTGGTTTTCTTAACTCTTTCTACTTACAGAGGATGGAATTGCCAAGTTGAATGTTCTGTCTTCCTGTTTTGTTTTGGCTTTTTTTTTTGTTTTGTTTGTGTGTCAGAGTCTCTAGTCTCATCCTGACTCTCACTATGTTGTCCAAGTGTGCCTTAAATTCCCTGGGATTCTGCTTCAGCCCCCCCCCCCCCAAGGGCTGGAATTACTGATGTGAACCACTGCACCTGGCTTAGACAGCTTCTTTTTAATACCCATGTTTTGCTAGTCATTATGGTGAACATGCCTTTTTTTTTTTTTTTGACAGGGTTTCTCTGTGTAGCCTTGGCAGTCCTGGACTCGATTTGTAGACCAGGCTGCCCTTGAACTCACAGAGATCCGCCTGCCTTTGCCTCTCCGAGTGCTGAGATTACAGGCATGTGCCACTGAGCCCAGCCTTTATCTGAGTCCTGGGGCGGCAGAGTCAGGCAGCTCTAAATTTGGCGCCAACTTACCTAACAAGTTCTAAGCCAGTCAGGTAAATAGTTAGACCCTAACTAAAGCAAATGACAACCCACCTGTGTTCATACAAGTACTGCATGCAGTTTGGGGAAATAATTGTCTCTCCTGGCTGTCTTTTTTTTTTTTTTTTTTTCCCCACCTGGAATATGTTGAGGTCGGTACTCATTGAACACTTAAGTGGTTTTTTTCAGAGGTGATCTGGAATAATCTTTTGGCCTGGAGGCAGGATGAATAACCCTGTGAAAGTGGAGTGAGTATGTGCAATCCTTTCTAGCCTTGACCCACCAGTCAGATTGATGGAGTAAGATTTGATAACAGATTATCAACTTGAAAACGGAAGAATTTTTTTTTTTTTTTGCAAGTGGGTAAAGAGTAAAGGACTTGTTGAATAGAACTTTGTATTTCTCCGAATTTATTATTCAGCCAGGAACAAAGAGTCCCTCTGTTGAGGGAGGCACAGGCACATTGCCCTGTGTGATCCTCCTCACTCCACTGTTAAAGAGATGCACTGTTCCAAGAGTGGCTCATCACCTTCTGGGAAGCCTGGGCCACCTCAGGGACCCTGTCGCCTGCGGCTCTGCGCAGGGGATCTGCTCTCCAGACAAATCAGACCTTTTGCTATCAGAACCACACAGTGTTGGCCAGACTCCAGGCCCTGGTTAGTGGAGCCTTACTGGGGACACAGCTGTTCCCAGCCAGGGTGCCTTCCCGCTCTACTTCTTGATTTTTGCTTAAACTTCTGCAGTGGCATTTTCTGTTAACAGAAGCCTTTGAGCTCAGAGACCTGTGTGTGTTCAGGGGGGCTCACCTCCTCCCACTAGAACTTTAGTGGAACAACAGGCAGATTGACAGTGTTTGATTGCAGGCTCTGTGAGGGCAAGGACTGTATCTTATCATCTCCAGATGGGGCCAGGACTCTTGCTTTGTGGCTCCTTTTAATCAGTAAGTCTTCCAGCCTCAAAGTGGATCTTGAAGAAGGACTTAAAGGTTAGTTGTGATCAAAATGTCCTTGCAGTTGATTTCTGGTGATGACAGTGGTTGACTGGGACCAGCCTGGCTGGTGCCTGTGTATGTGGTGGGGGGATGTGAGGATGACCTGTGTGCTTGTGGAGGGCAGAGGTCAAATGTCTGCCTCAGCCATTCACTTTGAGACAGGGTCTTTCGCTGAACCTGACCAGGGGCTCACCTAGTCAGCAGGCTATCCAGTCAGCAAGCCCTAGGGATCCATGACGATTCCTTAGCCCTGTGATCAGACAAATGTACCACAGTGCTGGACTTTGATGTTGGTGCTGGAGATCCAAACTCTTGGTCCTCATGCTTGTGTGGTGAGCACCAGCTGAGCCACCTCCTGCACCTTCCAGCCTGTGCCTTTTAATCTTAGTCTTTGGATGATTCACTTAGGCAAAGGACTTTTTAAAAATAATATGGTTTCAAAAAAATAAGTACTTTCCGTCGTCTGTGCTGGTGCCTGAAGCCTTCTTGATGTCCATAGGCTGGACTGCTGCCAGGGACCATACTGATGTCCGAGGACAGTGCCCTGGAGGCCATGTTGATGTCTGTGGTCTGTATTGCCACTGGAGACCGTGCTGAGGTCCCTGGCACATGCTGAGGCCAGAGGCCATGTGGAAGTCCATGGGCCGTGCTGACACCAGAAACCACGTGGAAGTCTCATGATCACACTCCTACTGAGTGAAGGGCTAGGAAGATGCTTTTTTCAGTGGTATCATATCAATGACTGTAGACTCACAGTTGACAAAGAGAGTCATAGATGGCTCCGGTGACAACCCCTACCAGGAAGCCATCAAGGAGAACTCTTAAAAATTGTGCTAAGGATGCTAAAGGATAGCATTCCACAGCTGATGGCCTCTGACAGGGCTGAGGGTAGGAAAGGACTTGGTTTTCTCTAAGGGGGTGGCCACTGGGAGTAGGACCATGCTCCAGTGAGTATACGGTCAACACAAACTGGACATGTCCTTCCCCTCCCCCCACTCCTGAGGGAGAGGTCATAAGGGGGGAGGGAGGCTTGGGAGGACCGGGAAGTAAGTGTAATGATTCTCAAATAATCAATAAAAAGACTATGTTGAAAAAAAAATGAGTACACTGTATAATAAAACAGTGTAAATGGTAAAAAGTAATCTAGGTGCTAAGAAAAAGCATTCATTGCATTTAAGGCGGTGAAGGGGTAGATTATGGTGCGCAAAATATCATCATAAAGTTATTAAGATGGCAAGGATCTTTTCTTGTTGTTATTTTGAGTCACACTAGCTGTGTAAACAGGGCTGGCTTCAAGCTGGAAATGGTCTTGGCTCAGCCTACCAAGAGCTGGGATTATAGGTATTGTAAAACCATACCTAGTAGCAGTGGGAACAATTCTCAATTACCAAAGATAAAAGACAAAAAAAGTAGCTACCTCATTTTTGCAGTGTGTCATTATGGTCACCCAGCTAACCTTATTTTGTCCTCCCAGAACCCCTTCAATAAAAGTATATTTTTCCTGGTTTTGAATTTAACTTATTTATGTATTTTATGGATATGGGTGTTTTATCTGCACACCAGAAGAGAGCATTGGATCCCATGGGACTGTAGTTTTGGACAGTTGTGAGCTTTATTGTGGTTCTGGGAATTGAACTCTGGACTCCTCAAAGAGCAGCCAGTACTCTTAGCCACTGAGCCGTCTCTCCACCCTCGTATTTTCTGTATTTTATCAACAGGAACATTAAAGGTGATGTTTGTCTCATGGTCACATGACTAGTAAGCAGCAGACCAGAAGCCTGAGCTACTGCGCTCTGATTTCTGCCCTCTCTTCAAGTTCAGATATTGCTGCTGATATTCAAGTTCAGATATTACCAAGCTGAATGGGTGTGCGGCCGTTGTCCCATTTGGCCAGTAAGGCTCCTCATTCAGCACCTGTTCCTGTCTGCTCTGTGGCTTGGTGATTGTCAGGGGAGTGGTTAGTCCGACCA